TCCGATCCGTGCAAGGCCTTGCCTCAATCCAATTGCAACAAAGATACTTGCGAGTATTTGTATACGTACGGAGATTACTCGTCCACTCAAGGGATCTTGGCCATGGAAACGTTCACTTTCGAGGACGAGCATTCGGTTTCGGGTTTGGCGTTTGGCTGCGGAGAGGATAACGAAGGAGACGGGTTCGCACAAGGGTCAGGGCTCGTCGGCCTCGGACGTGGCCCTCTCTCTCTCGTCTCTCAGCTCAAACAGAACGAGTTCTCGTACTGTTTGACGTCGATCGAGGATTCTGACTCGACGAGCTTGCTGTTCATCGGATCCGACGCTTCAAACACTCTGAACAAGTCTATGGGCGGCGAGATTCAGACAACCTCATTGCTACGGAATCCGGCTCAGCCCTCGTTCTATTACCTTCCGCTGCAAGGTATCACGGTCGGATCCAAGCGCCTGGACATAGAGGAATCGACTTTCACGCTGAGCGATGACGGGACGGGAGGAATGATCATAGATTCCGGCACGACTCTCACGTACCTCGAGGATAGCGCATTCCGGGCCGTGAAGAAGGAGTTCGCCTCTCGGGTGAGGCTGCCGACGGACGACTCCGGCGCCACAGGGCTTGACTTGTGCTTCAAATTACCCGAAAACACGAAGCAGATCCCCGTTCCGAAGCTCATTTTCCACTTCAGAGGCGCGGATTTGGAGCTCCCGGGCGAGAACTACATGATCGCGGATCCGAGCACGGGGGTTCTGTGTCTGGCGATGGGGGGTTCGAACGGGATGTCCATTTTCGGAAACATTCAGCAGCAGAACTTGCTTGTTCTTCACGATCTTCACAAGGAAACTGTCTCGTTTATTCCTACTGAATGCAACAAATTGTGATTCTCTCTATCTGTTTCTGTTCTGTCTCTTTCTGAGTTTTTTTTTCACTTAATCATTAGATATAATGTTTTGTTTTGATCAATAAAGTCTTATGCCCTTTTTTTCCGGGAAAATTTCGAGTTCTTGAATGCTTGCAAGTGAAGAGAAGGGATGATTACAGAGTTTTCAAGTGAATACATCATTAAAAATAATAATAATTAGTGTGAGATTATCCCATATATACATATATATATATATATATATATATATAGAGAGAGAGAGAGAGAGGGGGGAGTCATATCATAACAAAACCATGGAATGGAATGAAATTGAGATGATATCATATGATGGGATTACATGAGATGTGGTTACAAAGTGATTAAATTTAATTGTTATACTTTGTAGTGAAGAAAAGGGTTTGTTTGTTTGTTCAACTCCCGAAGCTACTTTGTAACTCAAAAAATGCATGCCTCATGGATGTTATCATTCCTCGTTGGAAAAAAAAATCTGAATAAAAAAAAGAGGTAAACCACACGTGTACATGTTGGTATGAGAGGAAAAAAAAGACTTTATTAGCGATGAAGGTTATGAATTTTTAGGTGTATTGTCATTTGAGGTTTTGGTTTTGTTTCGATTTAATTATATTCGAATTCGGTTGTAAAAAATTATAACCATTTGTTCGGATTCATTTTTTATTAGTAAAAAATCCATTTTTTCAAAAAAAAAAAGAAATTTTTTAATTATTTTTTTATTCCATTTGGTTCAAATTCTATTTTTTTATTTATTATAATAATTCAATTTTTATGTCGGATTTGATTCAGTTATATTTATATCTTTTTCGTTTTGGTTCGGTTTAGAGAAATTATATTCATTCGCGTTTTATGTCGAGTTTAGAAAAATTATAACCATTCCATTTTTATATTAAATTCAATGTTACCTCTAAAAATAACTAATCTGTCAAAACTCTTTTTATAGAAAAAAATATGTGATTTTAATTATAAAACTCAAGGGCTAAGCCCATTTATTCTTAATAAATAAACCCAATAAATAATAAACTTCCAAATCCAACAATAAAACAAAAGACGTATTCTACCAAAAAATCTTTCCTCTTGTCCTCAAAAGTGAAAGGACCATCTTCGGGGCTCGTTGCCAGGGAAATTCAGAATCTTGATTCCGATTTCGGAGCCAGCATTCTTGTTCTTGAACATCTGGGGGATCGGAACATTGATTTGATTCCCCTGCCTTCGAAAAGCTTCGCCATGTCCAGAGGATCGGTATCATGTGCCAATGACCCATGAAAGGGAATGAAGAAAGCATGGAGCTGATGAGGAACTTTCACTGACCATGTTTGGTTTCCGAGAAAATAAGACCTGGGTTTTGCAGATTGGAGATGAAAATCTCAGAAAAATGGAAACTTTTTCCCGGGTATTGTGTTTGGCCACCGAGAAAATGAGAGTAAAAATCAAATTTTTTTTTTCTCGGCTACTGTTTGATTACTAAGAAGAAAGCATGGAGCTGATGAGGAACTTCACTGCTCATGTTTGGTTGCTGAGAAAATAAGACCTGGGTTTTGCAGATTAGAGGTGAAAATCTCAGAAAAATGAAAACTTTTTCCCGGTTATTGTTTGGCCACCGAGAAATAAGAGTAAAAATCGAATCTTTTTTCTTGGCCACTGGTTGATTACTAAGAAAGAAAGCATGGAGCTGATGAGGAACTTCACTGCCCATGTTTGGTTTCCGAGAAAGTAAGACCTGGGTTTTGCAGATTTGAGCTGAAAATCTCAGAAAAATGGAAATTTTTTCCCGGGTATTGTTTGGCCACCGAGAAAATGAGAGTAAAAATCGAATCTTTTTTCTCGGCTACTGGTTGATTACTAGGAAGAGCGAGTTCTGGGTTTTGCTGCTTTGGTTAATTATTCAGATGCGAATTTTTCTTGGTGGTTTTGAATGAGTTCCACAAGTTTCCACATGCCTTATATTATCTGTGTGTGTATATATATTTTATATATATTGGGCGTTGGAGGTCTTTGTTTTGTTTGGATCCTCGGGCTCTATAATCAGAATCTACCACAAATTAAAATTGACTTTTTTTAAATCAAACTCCAATTAGATCCATAAAAGATAATAATAAGAATATATGCATCGAATCCTCTTGTTTGTTTCTATTTCTTTTAGATATTGAGCTAATCATTTGAAACAATTGACAATAATAGAAAACTATACTGGAAAAAAAAGAATGTTATTGATCCTAATTTCATGTAATCATTTTCATATTATAATATAAAACATCATATTTAAAATAAGCAAACAAAACAACATCTGACCAAACAAAGATCTGTTTTATGACAACAAAAAAAAGATTCACACAACTACAATACATTAAACTCCACTCCTTTACCTTGCCGTGCAAGAAAAGAAATAGAACACACTCACTCATGAGATTGCCCTACCTTGTTGGCAGCCCTAACCACCCTCACCTCTTCCATGAACCTATCCACATCATTATAAGAAGACCCTCCTTCTGCAACAGCGGCTTTGGCCATCGCAGCCACCTCCTTTGCCCGTCTCCGTCTCTCCTCCGCCTCTTCACCCGCCATAACTTCCCTCACCGCCTTCTCCACCTTTTCTCTGCTTATGAAATCTCCCACCATTCTCGCAAACTTTCTGGCTCCTGAACTTACTCCAATCCTCAGGACCTGAGTTAACAGCTTCTCGTTATAGAATTGCTCCGCCCCTACGGGCCAAGTCACCATTGGCAATCCCGCTGCTATGCCCTCGAGCACGGAGTTCCACCCACAATGTGTCAAGAACCCTCCGGTTGCTTGGTGGTCAAGTATCAGCACCTGAGGTGCCCACCCTCTTATGATCAGCCCTTTTCCCTTTGTTCTCTCCTCGAACCCTTCAGGCAACCACTCTTCCTTCTCACCAAGATCTAACACCATACGAGAGACATAAAAACGATCTTAAGTTTTGTCCTGCAAGAAAGAGATCTATATATATATTGTCTGTATCGGTTGTAGTACCTTTGCTTTCTTCTTTCCTCACCGCCCAGATGAAATTTTGTTCAGAAGCTTCTAGCCCTGCAGCGATTTCTATCAACTGGGCATTGGTGAAACTCGTCATACTTCCAAAGGAAATGTAAATCACGGATTCGGGTTTCTTGGAGGCGAGCCATTTGAGGCATTCGTTCTCGTCAACAGTCGACTTCTGTCCCCTCTCGGCTCTCTCCTCGAGCCTTCTGTTGCACAACGAAACCGGACCAATATGCCATGACCCCCATTTCAGAGTTTTCTGGTAGAAATCAGCATAAGCTGGTTCCAATTCGTAGAAGCTGTTCATCACAGCGCCGAAGCATTTCCCGAGAGATCCCCAGCTCTCTAACATGAACCTTCCCATCTCGGTCTCTGCATTACGATCTATGAACTGTTCTGCAGTAATGACGATGTCCCCTGGTAAATCTGGGATCACAAAGGGCTCAGAACTCGAGCCGAGTTTCTTGTGCGGCTTGTGAACGTCGATGCAATGAGCAGCGCAGATGGGGAAGTAGCCCGAGCCATGGAACGCGACTCTCGGAACTCCGAGCTTGTCCGCAGATTCAGAGGCCCACGGAAAGAATATGTCGGCGATCAGACAGTCCGGTTTCATTGTCTCCATAAGCTGTTCCATCTGTTCTTTGAGAAACTCGGTCGCGAACATGAACTTCTGAGTCAAATCTCCCGAATTCGATTTGTAGTTTGAGATGATGAAATCGGTATTCTCGCACCCTTCTGGCAATCCGAGCTCTCTGCAAGGGAAATCGAGGATCTCGACTCCGATTTCGGCATCTGGATTCATGTTCTTGAATGCTTCGATGGGTTTCTGAAAGGTTTGGGAATTGAGAGGAGTGGTGAGAATCGTTGATTTCGCTCCTCTGCTTGCGAAAAGCTTCGCCATGTCCAGAGTCGGAATCATGTGTCCAGGAGCCATGTAAGGGAAGAAGAAGATGTGGAGCTGATCGAATTTAGTCCCCATGTTTGGCTGCCGAGAAAATCAACGGAAGAACGAAGAGGGATTTCTTCTACTTTGATTGGAAAAAGATCGAAACTTTCGCGATAACAACTCAAACTGCAGGGAAAACAGAATCTGGGCTTTCCAGGGAAAAGCAGAGGATTCCAGGAAAATCGGATTTGGAGCTTGGATCAGAGAGGAGGGGAAAGATCGAAACTTTTATGATTATCACTCAAGTTGCCGTGAAAATAGAATCTGGGTTTCCAGGCAGAAGCAGAGAATTCCAGGAAATTAGAAATTTCTTTTATGTTTTTTGTTGGCGTCGATCGTAATTCCGGGAAAAAGATCGAAACTTTCTGGCAGAAACTGTTTGGGTCCTCGGAAAAATATAGGGTTTCTCAGCGTCGGTAAAGAGAGACGCCATCTTTGAACGAGTCAAAGAGTTCGGAACGTGTCGAAGACCGGAATCATTTTTAGGATTTTATTAAATTAAATAAATAGAGTTTCTAGATATTTATTTCCCATATTTGCATTCATTGCATAATTTGGATTTTATTGGGAAAAAATCATAACTGAGATTTGAATGTAAGAATTGGGACATGTCAATAAATTAAGACTTTTCATCCATTTATTTAGCTATGGAAAAGAAAAATCAGTCAAAAATTCATTTAATGTTTTGAAATCGTTCAATGGCTGGTGTTAAGGAAATCTGTTCATAACATATGATGGATTGGAAAGTGACAGGAGACATGTGATCTGGAGATTTCCGCGAGGGAAAAATCTATAATATTTTTATAAAATATTAATCATTAATTTAATTCTTTGTGATACACACACACACACATATATATATATTTATCGTTTAATATGGATGTGGTTATATAATTCAGTAATAAAAAAATAATGTTTGATGGAAAGTACCAATGATTAGTAAAATATGATTCGGTATTAAAAATAACTCTTGATGCTAAACTTTCAAATATGTGTTTGATGATAATCGGAAACAAACTAAAATAATAGTTTATCACTGAACTAAATAATATATAATCATCTAGATAATTTAAAAGGATTTTTAAAACTAAAATGAATGTAAATTAAATTCCTCTGAATACGATAAAAACGAAACCGGATGCAAGTTGAATTTTTTTTAAACAAATATTTTTCAAATAAAAACAAAACTTGAATAGAGTTAAAATGAAATAAATATAATTTTTATATATTTGAATTACGAATTAAAAAATAACCGGAAAAAAAAACTACCTTTTTCATTTTTATTTCCTTTCGTTGGTAGTCGTCAAGATTCTTGCTTGTTCATGGACTTCGTGTTTTTTTGACTGAAGATTTTCGACTTTTCGAATTTTGAATTGAATTGCAAGCTGAATATTATTTCTCAAGTGGAATGTTCGAAAAAATTATCCATAATTTTTGTACCATGGAATTTTATTTTTTTTCTTTTTCATAATTTCATGACAAGTAATGTATACGTAAGAAACGGTCTACATATTTACATGGATCCAATGCATTCTCATCTTGATTTTTTTTTTAAAATATTGCCTCGGTTTCGATTTTGCGAGATTCTCTAGATACTCATATTCCGTGAAAATTGTTACAAATTTTATTCACTTACTTTGATTTTAGGAATATATTGATAATTTTATTCGAAAAAATCTCCCTCACATCTCATTAGAGATTTATTTGGTTAATAACTGAATAACCGAACCGAATTCGAAAAAAGATCGAATGGTTATGATTTTTCTATAACCAAAAAATCGAATCCGAACCGAACCAAATAAAAAAGTAATTGAAATAAATTTTGTCTAAGAAAATGACTATTTTTTTTTATCATAAACGAATCGAACCCGAACCGTATATAATCTACTTGAATCGAATCATATTCAATATAAAAACCGAATGGTTATAATTTTTCTAAAACCGAAATAACCGAATTCGAATATACTCAAACCGAAACTCGAATGAACCTCATCTACATGTGATGATCATACTCTTTCCTTTGGTCCTCTTATGAAACTCCAACCCTTATGGTAACGATCATACACCACTACAGAATGTCAAAGTTATCCTCACACACAAACACGAAACTTTTTAGCATATTTTGTCTTCGCTCACATGCATCCCAAAGAGTATTTTCCATGATGTAAGACATCCTAAAACTATTCCAAAGAGAGTATGCTTAATTTTAGAATTCTCTTGAGATAGATAAACGAAAAGATAGATACACCTTGTTGTTATGAGTAGCTCAATTAATTCCTTTAAATTATCTTTGACTGTGTTTCTCATACCTACACAGCCCTCAGATTTCTCTCATTACGGTGTGTTCGATTCATCTTGTACCCCTACCCAGAAGTTCGTCTCCTTATCAATATTTCTTGCACCGACGATCATTCATCGCCCTTCAAGAATACCTGAACTGTCACTTATGACTTTAGGCAAGATATTGTATTATCTAATAACCCATTATTATGATTTTGAAACTTGTTTACTTAGAGCAGTTTAGTTAATGATTACATATCTCGCGTCAGACCATTATAAATATTGTAACATAGAAAATATTACAAAGAAATTATCGATCGGTCTTAGATTATATATTTCTCCCAAAATTTATTAGTGTTAAATGGATTATTTATTCGAAATTGATTATCGGTAATATATCTTTTATGATTATCACTCA